ATATTTCATCATTTAATGAATTATTAGATGATATTAATCAATAAGAATTATTTATTTGTATCATAAACAATCAATATAATGAAATCATCAATAAAATAATAAAATAAAATGAAATATGAAAATTATCAACAATAATCATTAATCAACAAATTCATTAATGAAATAATCAAAATATAAAATCAAATTCAACATTATATTCTCTCATTTCTAAATAATTTTAATATAAATTCAAACAGAATAATGAATAAAGAATGAATAAATATAAAATATAAATAAAATAAAATAATTAATTAAATAAGAAGATAAATAAGATAATATATAATAAATAATAAACAAAATAAAATAAAGATATAAATAAATAAAATAAAAGATATAAAGAAATAAAATAAAAAAGAAAGAAAGAATAGGAATATAAAAATAAAATAAAAAGAAATAAAGAATAAAAAAGAATTATAAAACAAATATAAAGAATGACATATCAATCAATAAGAAAGAAAAGAATAATTAAATCATTTAAAAATTGAAATTAATATTAATATTGATATTAAAATATTATATTTAACAATATGATAATTCATTTGATTTATTTATTGTATTATATTCAAATATACATAGAGAATTTAATTAATAATAAAAAAATGAACAGAATTCACATTAGAAAATAATGAACATTATGTATCATTTTTATTACTTAATTAAATAATAAATTTTAAACCAATTAATTAAAACTTTCATTTAATTATATGTTTTTAACAGGAAAAACATATTTTACTCAATTTTTGAATGGATTTATCTAATGTTGATTTTTCTCCTTGTTTTAATTCATTCATTTTTCTTGCAAGTTCTACCTTAATCTCTTGCTTACTCTTTTGTGTTATTGATTTTTTCATAATATAGTCTATCATTTCATTTTCTTGTTTAAGTTCTTTATATCCTTCAATTCGTTCTTTATATCCACTTTTCTTTTGTTCATTTTCTGAATCAATTAATAAATCTAAATATTCATTTGAACTATTAATTCTACCATTTAATGCAATTGATGATAATCTATTAATACACCATACAATTCTTTGTTGTTTATCATAGTAGTCCATTAAGATTTCATAATATTCTTCTTCCAACTTGTTTAACATATTTTCTGCATTAACCATACCTTTTCTACCTTCGTTATATCTTTCAAATACTTCTTGTGCTATTTGTTGTTTTGTTTCTGTTACATATTCCCATCTATATGATGAGTTTGCATGTTGTGTATAATGACATCCACATACATTACAATATCCATTAGCACCAATGCAATAACAACCTTTTTTTACATCTTTATCATAACTTGGATAACAACATGTTTTATTACATCTCAAACAGTAAGTTACAT